TTTCAGAGTATGAAAGTTTTTGCTGCTGTTTGTATATGAATCGTGCAGCCTTGATGCGCTGCGCCTTCATTTCCGTACCAGACAAGATGAAAATGTCCACCCTGTGCCCCAATTCCCTCAACAGATCAGAGTAACCTTCCAGGGCAGCCATGTCAACGGCTCGAGCAGCTGAGATGTATCTGTTCAGCTCGCGCCTCACAGCGCGAATGCGTGAGTTTGCTGGTTGTCGACGATAAATTGACTTGGCCCTTAAAATGGACGCTAGGACGCTGGTGGGCATGTCAGGGTTCAAGGCAAACTCATCACGAAGCGCCCGTGCGGCCTGATCAGTGGTATACGCCGGTCTAATTTGACAGTACTTTCTGTCGACTGACTGCCCATAGCACTGGTTTTCGTGCTCTTGGAACCGATTCAACTTCCACAATCCCGATTTGGGTTGCCGATTAAAAGTGAGAGTTGCGGCACAATGCTTTCGTCGACAGTCCATGCGCACCATTTCGAAGTTTTTCACCACATTCACTCCCTCCGGCACACGCAAATTCGCAGTATATGCTCGAATGAGCTGCTCGCAGCGCCATGTTCCGGAAAGCTTAATCCCAACCTCAGGGGTATACGGGACGCATCTCCGGGGAACCCACGTCATCTCTGCTACTCTATCCGCCGCTATTTCCGCCATTGCCTTCCGCTGACTTCTCTTTTTTGACGCTCTCTTTTGTTCCGCTCGCCGTTTCTTCTGTTCGTCCTCAGACAAAGTTCTGAGGTCAACTGGCAACACCCTTTCAGCCGCAGCTGCTGCATCACAAGCTTCTCCATTGCTGCTGGTGTCTTCAGGCGTGACGGCTATGTACGCTCGGAAATCAAAGTCATAGTCGTCAATACATTCCGGGCGAGGGGAACGAAAGGAATCTACTTTATCTTCCATCGAACTTTCTTCTTCGGCATCAACATCCTCATCGTCCTCTTCTTCATCCAAGTTCACCCCGTCACCCCCCTCTCTATCCAAATCATCGTCAGGCGCCCCAACGAACTCCACTTACTCACCATCTGGGCCGTGACCCATTTTAGATTCAAAATCTCCACCCAGGACATCGGTCATAAAATCGGTTCCGTCAAACGAAGATGTATGGATCCTGGGGGAATTATTCCGATCCCCTCCTTGGCTCCTTGATTCATGACGATCCCTTCGTTCCCTCTTCTGCCTCTCTTCTCGTTTCCGCGCCTCATTATCCATACGTGCTCGTTCCTGATAAGACATTCTCTTCTCTCTGCGATCCCTAGCCATCCGTTCCCGCCTTTGCGTAATCGTCTCAGGCTTTTCCACCTGACATATGTCTTCGTCTTCCGTTTCCCATTCTTGTCTCATTTCCTTCTCCCTCTGCTGATGTCCCCATTCACTTTCCGCTGAGCGTTTTCTTTCCCTCCCTTCCTCCAATGCCTGCTCTTTTTCTCTCTCCACTTCCTCTCTCCTCGCACGTACTCTCTCCTCCTCTAGCCCCTGCTCCCTTTTTCGTCTCAACTCCTGAGCTCTTTCTTCTTGCATCATTTCTTCACGATTGCGACGCCCCTCTCTCTTTTCCCTTTCTTCACCTTTTTCCGTTTCTTTGCTCCTATCCTCGCCCTTTTCCGCTTGAGAAGACATTTCCTCCTCCTCAGCCATGACCTTTCTTCGAATATTCTCTCTTTCTTCCCTTAACATGAGTTCGAGTAGTTTCTCCTTCCAGGTTGGAATGAGTGTAAAAACTAGTGTAGCGAGAACCAAATTTGAAGCATCTTCCCTGTTTTCCATCTCATCAAAACAAATGTCTCTCTCAGCTTGTTCTTTTGCGCGAGTGAGCTTTTGCATAGCTTTATTCGCAGAGGAGCGATCCGACACACATCTGTCTGGATGAACAAGAAATGAGAGCTTCTTGAAACGCTTTTGTATATTGCACAAAGTGGGCTCGTGACTTTCGTCCGCCGTATCTTCGGGATGAGCGCAACAAAAGACGTCAATTACGGGCGTTTCGTTGATGATGATTGTCCCAAAGTGATGCAGGGCCTTTCTGGTGTCTAGCGGAAAAGATCGCATTATCCCGCCAAAATATGGCAGAGAAAAAGGGGAAACAACACAGGGTGACAGTGAAAAGCGAGCTGCGGCGCGAGGGCTACTTTCGGGGGATGGATTTTTGTGGGGTGACTGTCGGAGAAAGTGGTCGAGGCGCAGGTCGAGGCGCAGGGTATTTGACAAGAATATCTGCACTGCGGACGCCTTACAAATGAGACACTCATGCCGGCCAGAAACACTGTTTCTGGAGGACCAGTAGTTTCATACGAATTGCTCAATTTTTGCAGATAATGCGCCATACATGCCATTTGTGCAATGTCCGAGTGTTTACCAGAGCTTTGAGGCCCACATTTACGTCACATATCCGACGCGCCCCGTGCCAGCACCTGCCGCCCATCGCCGCGCCCCCGCGCCTCCGCCCATCGCACCCATCGCTTGCTTGCCGAGACCCACCGCCACCTCGGCCGTCGCAACGGTTCAAACAGCACCAATCGAGCACGGTCATCGGCCTGCGCGGCACTTCGGTTCCCATGCAAAAAGAGGCGTCCCAGGGCGAAGTCAACAGCTGTAGATCTGAGGCTGTGATGGCGAGAACGCATGAATACGGTGCAGATCGGAGCAGTGATAGACTTGAGATAGAAACAAATCCGAAGAAGTCTGTAGAAGAAGTCATCGACCTATGAGGATGCTCTAATCCATCAGTTTCCACTAGCGAAATCCGTTTCCGTCCGTAAGGATGAGTGGTTTTTCCTCCATGCCAGTACTGTATCGACATTTGTATTGCAGTACGACTTAGTGCCACTCCTATAACAGGCATGATCACCAGTATACACAGTAGTATTTTAGTCGGGAATCGGTCGCTGTTCTCGTAATCTCTATAGAGCTAGAGGTAAAGTAGTAGAAGGATACTAATTACTGTATTCGTCTGCAAAACCTCGCAGGATCCTCTCGGGATGGGAGTGCCTGGTAGTACAGATGAATTCAGTCACCTGGGAATGTAGTTTTTGAGGCATTTACTGTCTTGCGTCTCTAATGAACCCAGACACTACAATTTGTGTTTCATCTTCTTTGACAGATTGGGTTTTGTTTTGTCCAACGCCCATCAGCAGATGAAGAACCATTCTCACAGCAAACAGCGACAGCTAGGCCCTTTTGTGTCATCAAAAGCAGTGCCTGATGGCCGGCCTATGTATGAAACTGCAGTAATCTGACTCTACAAGATTATTCTTGCCATTCGTTCTTCAAGGTGTCTATGAAACTCTAATTTGAAGCAATTGATGTTAGTCAAGCCCTTGTTAAACGCCAGCATGCATTTGTTTCTATTAAAGTGCAGGTCGTATAGCGAACCACATTGAAGCATCTGTTGAGCAGTAGTTTGAAACGAAGTTTTAAAAGGAAGGCTCACGCAAAACAACAACATAACTCGGGCTCTAGGGTGCCATCTTGCAGGGCTAACAGCTGCAGAAACCATAGTCTATTCCACGAATCACCGTCAACGCCCTTCTCTACTTAGAGAGTCGATATTCATAACAACAGGGGTATGGTTTTCATATGCACAGTATGCATTGCAGTTGGCAGAAATATGCAGTACCCTTGGGTAATGTATATATCTAATGGTGGTGACCTTATCTGGTTCGAGTGTTGCAAAATCGTAAGTACCATCGCGACGTTCTCTTCCTTATGTAGATTGGCGATATGAGACTTTTTTTAGCAGTACGAGGGTGTCCGACCGTCAACGATTTTTTCCGGTCCACACCAATCGACCAAGTCAACATCTATCAATGTAGGTGGGATTTTTCTGTCTTTGCGTCCTTGGACACGATCTGCTATGTAAATAATCATGAGAAATTGGAGAGATAGGAGATAAATCAGGGCCAAACTCACACAACATGTCCAATAGAAGTACTCCATTTGTTTTACAACAGTAACTACATTCACGAACACCGTACCCTATGGTGTTGGTGTCCCGATCGGTGGGACTTCATCCAAACTTGATGAGGGCGCAGGCGTCCGTTTCGCCGAGAATTCGCCCTCTACTGTTCCCTTTGACTGTTCCCTTCGACTGTTCTCTTCGACTGTTCCCTTCGAAGGGTAGACGAATAGAAAATTCCCGCCCCGTCACACCTCCGCGTCCATGTCCGCCCGTACCCATCAGCCCTCCCCCATCAGCCGGGCCCCTCCCCCGCCCGCTTCCTATCAAACCCGCTCGCCGCCACAGAAGCCAGGCAGCAGTTAGTCCCGCCAAACCCGAACGAGTTGGACAGCGCCACGTCCACGTCCATCCTCCTGCACTTCTCGGGCACCAACCTGGGCACGTCGCCCCACCCGCACCGCTCCGCCTCCTCGTCCTCATCCACGGCTCTCAAGTTGCGCGTCCCGGGCACCACGCCCTCCGCCACCGCGAGCGCCGCGAACGCCCCCTCCACGGCCCTGGTATGTCCGCAGAGTGCTGAGACCGCTTCACGCCCGTCTGCCCGGACAGCACCGCGCCCCACCTTGACGGCGTTGACAGGCCCAGGGGCGTTACCAGGCCGATCCCGGTCACTAGCACGCGCGTGGTCATGGGACGGGGAGAGAGAGGTACGGTTAGGGGAATGGGCGGCTTGCAAGACGAGGTGCTAGATAAAGAGATGAGCTCCTGAGCAAAAGGTTTCTTGTGAGAGATCAGTGTACAAAAGAAGAGCAATTCAAGTCAACGCGGACGTCGACATGCCCCCTGAAAATATGTAACTCCTCCGACTTGCCTCGTAGAAAAACCTCCTCAGATTACGGTATGATATGATTTGTTCAACCCTTCTTTTGCCCCTGAACACACGCGACGCGTCAACAAACACGCTCCGCCCCGCCCTCAAGCCGCCTTCGCAATGCCCATGCACTCGCCCGTAAACACATTCGAGCTACGTACGAATGGTCGCCAAGCCCGTCCGCGGCCAACTATTAACCGCCGCATTCGCTCTTACGCGCTTCCACCAGCATCGTGACCAAACGACGTAGCCCGCTGCTTGGCCCCTGCTTCATCTTCTCCATCCCCCTCCATCGCGCTCTCCGCGCATCCGGGGCACTTCCCAGCGGCTTCAGCGCATGCGGCGCAGAGGGAGCGATACGCCGCCTTAATCCTCTTCTCCAGATAAACGTTGCACTTTTTCGGCACCGACAGCGATTTATATTTGCGATACTTCATTCACACACAAAATCTCCACAACACGGTCAGCACTAGCGTCAAGGCACTCCGTAGCGCGCGCCGCACGCTCGCTCGTGACATCCACCTACCTTCTTGCGCCACTCGATCTTGTCCGCACACTTCTTGCACAGCCCGTCCGTCCCCACCAGCACTATCCGCCGCGTCAGCCGCGAGTTCTTGTTGTGCTTGAATGCTCGCGTGTTCGGGTGCGCCGGCGCTCGGCTCTTTGGCTTACTCGACGTGCTCATGTTGCGTGGTTGACGCTGCGTTTCGGCGGGAGGGGCGGGATGCGGGTTTGGAGCGGCGTGGACTCTCGCAAAACGTGGTGGCGGCTCTTATCGAATCATGGGCAGGGAGCAAAGATTTAGAAAATGCCATGGAATTTGCAAACCATTTGTATGACGTTAGCGCGCTGTTGGGGGAGGTGCGCTTCTCACCAGGGAGCTGGGGAGACCACCGGCTTGTGATTAGTTAAACATGTCTCCGTGGAAGGAAACACGCCCCAACGCTGCACCCCAGCGTCATCCAGTCCCCGCATTCAGCGCTTGTCCCCCGTTCTATTCGCAAAATGCCTTGAAAAGAGGCACTGTTCCCCGTAAGCGCCGCGAAAGACGTAGTCCAGTGCCCGTCCTTCCGAGTGGCCAGCCGCCTGTCTTGACAGCGGTACAAAGCTTAGCCGCTGCAGTTGCGATCGCAGCTGCCACACTGCTTTCCGTCCCCCAACGTGCGGCCTCGGCGTGAAGAACGACCTGCTCACAGACTGTCAGTCTGGCGGCGTGAGCTGCGTTTCCTCGCAGGACGACACGCCAGCATCGTTCCTGGAGCCGTGGGAGTACGACGAGGACGTCGCCTATCTGCAAGACCGACTCATCTCCGCCGTGCAGCTCGACTATCAAGCGTCTCTCGTGCTCCGCGAGCCTCGCTATCTGCGCTTCGAGATTGGACAAGCAGCCGCAGCCGTAGATGACTTGGAGTTCTTCTTCCCGAGTCAGGACAACATCGTCCACTTCAGGAGCGCCCGACGAGGCTATGCGTTCGACTTTTGGCGAAATCGTAGGAGGATGGACGCCATTCGTAGCAAGGTTGGGCTTGTCCAGATTCCGGTCCTCAGGAGCCGCATGTCGTCTATGAAGATTTTCGAAACGCCTTTTGATGAGTTCGGGCCTAGAGCCGTTGATGTAGATGCCTTGATTTACAACGGTGGCTTGGGGAGTCGTCCGGTTCGATGAACTTATGTCAAAACCCTGTACTGGTTGTGCGACCCTGATGCGGCTGGGTTTTCCCAAGCGCCTCTCCTTCTTCGCCATGAGCAGCTCCCTCCTCGCGACGGTAGCAACCCGTTCGGCAACGCGTTCCTTCTCTGCTTCCTCCACCTAGCCGACCCTTCTCTCCCTCTCTTTCAACTTGCGCACCCACGCATGTAGCCTCCCTTGCTCGACGCCTGAGTACTTCAAGCTGGCGAAGAAAAAGCGGGAGGGGCGGGGGATAAACAAGAGCAGCGTGAGAGCTTCTTGGAATTGACAGGGACTTTAAATAGCTCCCTCACTTCAGCCACGAGCAAATTCTTTGCTTCATCTCCGCCAAGGAGACGAAGCACATCTTCCGTTAATGCGAACGGATACCTTGAAGCGCTATCATGGACAATACCACGGTTGCAGTCCAGCGCAACGCAATGATCTACAATTCCGTGTTCCACTATTCGGACTATCCACACGCCTTGATTATGGTGCGCAAGCCACTTGAAAGGATTTGAATCGAACGCCTTCTTCTCAGCTTTAGGAACTCGGCGCACTGATAGTTGAGCGGGAATTTGATGAACCAGAGAAAAGAGTTGCTTGAGTGTTTTGATCTTCATCGGATGCTTCCGAAGGTACTTGTCGACGCTTGTTCCTCCTGTGGTACCATATAACGCACAAGTGCCGTTGGACAGCGCAGCCGACACGCATGAATCGTCGTTGCTGCGCACGAGGTTCGGGCCATACTGGTGCCCCTCAAACCTTCTTGATCCAGTGATTTGTCCGCGTGCCCCAATACCACCGATGAGTATCGGCACACCGCGATGGGCCCTCATCCACGCATACAGTCGACGGAACATCTCTTGCAAAAACTTTTTCTTGCGCGGCAAGTCGTTGGTACCATCATCTATCGCGTTTAATAGAGCCTGCATCGTCTGAAGGGATAGTGTATTCGAATTGGCATCGATAGGCCAGAAACTTTCGTCACCGCCTGTCAATCCGGCGGCAGCGTACAAAACGCTGTCTTGCATTTTGTGGCCGCTTGCCCCTTGTCGGCCATCACCAATCATCACCCTGTCCATCGCCCAGCTCATGGTGTCCAAGAATACTAGGAATGTCGCACCTCCCCGGAGATCTGCACAAACTTCCGTTCTTAGTGGACACACGTGAGATGGGCGCCGGGCTCCTCGGTGCGACTGGGTTCCGGGTTACTTGGAGACGCGGCCGCGGTGCAGCATGCTAGAGGCAGGGTGCAGAGCAAGGCGATGAAGAAGGCGGGTGAGGGCATTGCGGCGAGATGTGCGGGGGGGAGCTGGGGAACGTAGACGCCGAAAAATGGCGGGTTCCGAAGGCAGAACGTACGCCCCGTGACCGCGCGTCACCGTATGCCACTGTGGTGGGCACTGGGCGGCCTCTATAGCCACACTATATTGTTTCAGTTTTGAGAGCGCTTTATCCAGCGCGAAACCGTACGTTGGCGTGCTTTTATAGGGGTGACATTAAAACAATCATGCGTTTCTAGGGCAACTTTTCTAACATTTAGGTCTCTGCCGAAATGGCCGCGATGGTATATGTCTTTATGGGGTGACATCCCCGAATATGAGTTTGTCGGAGGTGACTTTACGATCGTTTTTCTGTCACCCTAGAAAACGGACATTGTCACCCCATGCAGAGAACACCATGGACGAAAATCACCCTACTAGCAGAGCACTTTCTAGAAGTGTCGCCCTATAAATACCCCCACCACATTGAAATCGCCCCACGTAGGTTTCACTTTGGCCGGATGGCGCCCCCAAATCTGCAGTTTGTCCCAAAATTTAAAGCCGTTTACGCTACAGTTCGTGAGAACCAGTTGTGAGTATTATGTCTGACCCTCTGAGGGCCGTTCCTAACTCGCAGTCCATCACAAAGTTTTCTTCTCTTGGCTTCCAGCAGTGCGTATCTCCCAGGCCTTTAAATTAAAATTTTCAAGAAAAGCGCTGTAAATGGTAGAACTGTACAGAGCGGAAAATGCCCTTGCAGGACGTCTACGTTTCACACCAGAGAATCTGGTACTGACCATTATCGCGTCTATCTATACCTTCGTTCACTCGCCCCTTCCTTCATGTCATGCGGACCACCTCCCACTCCGGTCTCCAACGCCGCCATGCTTCCTCCCCCCCCCGGTCTCCAACGCTGCCAGGTTTTCTCCCCCCTCCAAGCCCTTTTCCTTCCACCCCACCATCCCCCGCTTCTCCCCCGAACGCTGATACTCCATTCGTCTTCTTCTTTGCCACGCTCGTTGTCCGTCCTCTTCTTCTTCCCGAACCCCTACACCACCCGCCATCCGCCACCGCCACTCCCAGACCATATTTCGTTATGGGAAGAGGGCAAGTTCTGAGAAAAAGTATTAGTGCGGGAACGCCGCGAAAAGTAAGAAACAACTACAGCACAGCTTTTTTAGCAGCTATTGCAGCTTTGGTACTGGAAGACGACACGCTAAACGCTGTGGCAGCTAGGTTGCACTTGGACCGAGTTGCGAGTTCGCCACTACGCGGTCATCGCCGGGTTAACATTGTGCGAAACAGAACCAACATTTCTTTCGAAGAAAGTAATGCCATCTACATTGATAAAGAATTCGATGGCCAGTGCAGTTGCAGTGGTGAAAGTTTGCACATCTTGCCATGAACTTGCCACTCCCGCTTCATATGCTGTCGTGGAGTTGCTTCCTGAGAAACTACTCCGGATTGGACGTGAAAAACGTTGTACGTTTTCTTGTTTTTGCTCTGCTCACGACGCTTCCTGTGGCCATTCAGAGAGTTCCACTTGCCCCTTCTTCTTCTTGTTCATTGTTGTGCAACCAGAATAATAACCAGTAGTTCACCTGCACTTGTTGAGACTCTTAGCTACTTACAGTCAGGAGATAAAGTTTAATGTCAAAGATCAACATCCAACTGTCCAATGAATAAGATAGAAGTTAAGAGTGGTGTGATAGGGAGATTCGGGAAAGAATCATCCCGGACTTAGGAACGGGTCTGAGTAGTAGTTCTCCCCCTTCGCTAAATTCCTAACAACATGCCAAGGGGACGCCAGGGCGGTCATACTGTGAAGTCTACCGAGCGTCGAGCATCGCAATGGAATGCTGTTTTTCTAGCAATTCGGAGGCGACGAATGATGCAGAACGAATCTGCTTTCACGTCTACAAATTCATTCATGCGAGTTGCCTATACTACATGGAGAGAGAAGAAGGAAGTCGAGCTAGTGCTTGCGAGAAGAAGACGTATCAGTTTAATTGCGTTTAGTTGCAACTTCAACGGTCTAACGGACGGGGACGCACTGCTACATTTCAGATTCCGTAAGCAAGATATCATTAGAATGATAACCGCAGTTGCTTGGCCCACACAAAATCGAACGACCAAGCGAAACACATTCAGCGTCACACCTCTACTAGCGATCTGTGTCATACTGAGACGTCTCGCGTCACCAACCGGGTAAAAAGACCTCGACATTCTGTTTGAGAAGCACGCCTTGCTGATGCCAGACATATTTTGGGAGGCCCTGGAGCATATGTTGGAAGCAAGAATAGAACTCATAAAAGGACCCATAAGCCCACAGCGCATGCATTTAAATGCGGAACGGTATGCCACGGCAGTTCAGGACAAGTGTAGAGCCCTCGCCAACTGTGTCGGCTTCATAGACGGCACGGTGATTGGCAGTGCAAGACGGAAGCGATATGCTACGCAACGCATTGCGTACAACGGGCACAAACGGAAGCATGCTCTCAAGTTTCAGGCTGTAAACAGTCTTGATGGACTTATAATGTATGTCCATGGTCCCATAGAAGGTCGACGCCACGATTGGACGCTGTACACAAGAAGTAGGCTTGACACGCATCTACTTGAGGTACTCGATGTAGGGGGAAAGAGGTACTGTATCTTCGGAGATTCAGGATACAGTCGTCGGTGGTTCATGGAAATTCGGTTTCAGGGAAGCAATTTATCGGCGCAGAAAGTCGCATTCAACAAGGCTATGTGTTCTGCTCGCATAACTGTAGAGTGGATATTTAAAGAGGCCAAGCTCTACTTTACGACGGTGGACTTCAAGCGAAAGATGAAGGTGTTCGAGTCTCCAGTTGCGTCCCTTTACCTGGCGGCGATGCTTCTCAGTAATATGCACAATTGCATCTATCGGAACCAGGTAGCTGTGTACTTCAATTGTACACTGCCGACTCTGGAAGACTACCTTTCCCATAAGGATTAGACTGGGCGGCCGAGGAGCGAGGACTAAGTCAGTGAATGCGAGCTTGAAAGTTTTGGCGCGGACT